TATGCCATGCAGTGTTACTGAAGCTATAGTCACAACAGCCTTGTTTAATGGTAGTGGTGTCATTAACACTGTTGTTTAAACTGGCTCTAGAAAAAAGGAGGCCTGCTATCTCTATTCTGGTTTTACCGTTCGTTTTTTATTTGACACTGTAACAATTAATCATTTATCTGCCAGCTTTAATAAATTACAGAATAAAAGCTTGTTTGAGCTGTGTATTTTATGCTATACTATAGAGTGGTGATCTGTTCAAAGGTCAGATTTACTGTGGATGTGTTATCTGTATGTTTTTCTGCTGGTTACTGTATACTGTTGCCTTTAATCTAATTTAGTGATAATGGAAATATGCATCATAGTAGACTGGGCACTATTAAATGAATGAAGGGTGGGGTAAAGTTCAATTCAAGTTGGTGCAATTTTGGTTGTCATGTGTGCTCACAGCATATGTCAAAATAATACATACAGTATGTTAACTTATCTTTATAATGTGCAGTCTTGGCATGTTGTACCTGTTTAACTTGCTGTTGCTCTTGACTCGCACCAGTGTGATTAAGTTTGAGAAGAAAAATGATCAGTCACTGTATCAGTAGCAGGAGAAAAGATAAGTGGTTTGCTGTGAACCTGTGCTTTAGACCCAAATATCTACTGTTCTGCCTGTATAGCCTGGACATAAACTTAGCCTTGTACTGGATACTAGAACAAAATGCAGTGGTTGGGGTATTTAACTGAGGGATGGGAATTAATATCATTTGAATTATCAAGAGGCAGTCTTCCATCACATAAGTCTGTGTGGAATGAGGCTTTTGATATTAAATATAAGGATTAATAGAAAGGCCTGTAAATTATGACTGATGCTTTCATGTGGGATCCAATATATTATATGTGTGGTGGTATTTCAACAGTTGCTGTGTAACTGTCACTGTGGCTTCATCCACTAGTTAATTCAAGCTCACAGAGCTGCAGCATCAAAAGTAACTTACAGAAATAGCTTTAGACTAAATATATTATATTTTAAAAAGGTGTGATTCTTTATAAAAGTGCCATTTGTTTCTGTGATGGCATGGAACATTCACTGTAATACAAAACATGTATTTTTTTAAACTGCAAATTAGATCACAGATTAAACAGTGTTTTAAAATAAATGGTCTTTATTTGAAAGAATAATTGTATTCTTGAACACTTACTGTTGTACAAGGTGCCATCTGGAGGACAGTGGGAAAATATTCATAGAGAATGTCAGTGTTGTCAGTCAAAGCCTTGTCGTATTACATCCCTAAAACCTCCTAAAGTTGTGTGCATTATATTACAGGACTGTATATAAATATATTGGCAATTTTCCCTTTAACAATCTTTAAAGACTTGCCAAAATCAAATCAAGTCTTACAATATGAAAACTAAATTAGAGCTCTATAAATGTATATTATTTAGTGTGCATTTACATGTGCAGGCAGTTCTGCCTTTATGATGAGAATGTATCCAATACGTTTTATGACAAAGCAAAAGACATGGAGAAAAAAATGTACTACCATTGTTGATGTAGAAAGACTGGACAATAAAATTTAAGCAAGAAATAGATACAAAACTATAAAGGGGGAAAACATAATTAAAAAAAAAAATGTTATTTCAAACTCTTATGTTTGTGTTTGCCAATAAAGTGTGGATATATCCTCTGCTGGCAGAGGTCAGAGTGGCAGACCATCTTTCAATGGCATACTCAGCTCTGGCGTAGCATTTCTCCCCTTTCCAAGGCCAAAGTGAAAGGGAGCGCAGTAAGGGGTCAGATAACCCCTGATGGATGTGTTGTGCAGACTGATAGTCAGGCAGCACAAATACTACCGCTGTGTTCCTGTAGGAAGATGGGAGTTTTTCATCCTTGCTGAAAGCAGTATGAGTCCATAGGCGTAACGAACCACCTCAGTGGCTGATGGTACATGAGCAAAGTGTACTGTAATAGAAAATATAACAACAACAGACAACACACAGCAATTTTCCAGCAACTGAGCAAGCTTGCATCTGTGTAGCAGCGGAACAATGATAGCACAAATACACAATTTTTGACACAAGGGAAGGGAAGTATTCCAGTTCAAGAGCCCATGGCATGCTCATTTCTAGCCATTTGAGGTTTAATCTTGGGTACCTCTAGATTAGCTTTGCATCCATCTTAAATCTGTAATTATTTCACAATGATAAAACCCAAGAGCCTCTTCCTGAAAATAATAGGATAGTTCATGAACATGCACAAACGCACAACTCCTGTTGCCTGTGTTGTGTCAAAATCTGTCTCCCCATCAAATCCTAACCTGAATCCTAATGTTATCCTAACCACAACCACTGAGTTTTGAACACAGGAAATACATCTCGAGAGGGGGAACATGTTTCGACACAAGACCAGTCAGAAAGCCAGAACACATAAACGAGAAACATTGACAAATAACTTACATTTTCGACAATGACAATACCCAAAATCTGGCCTGACATATTTGAGCGAGAATATGAAAGTGGACAGCACAATGAACCACAACAGCATTAATTAATTTGAACTTCTCAACATTATATGTACCGATGAAAAGAGATGTGTGACACTAAACAACGCGGGTAGTTGAGAAACCCCATATTTTAACTGGCATAATGCAGACATAGTAACTTCTCCAGCCTTACAACAATTCTCTCTAAAGTTGCAGAAACAAGGCATTAACAGACATGCAACATGTGTTTTTTAAACTTACCATTAAGTCCCACTGAGCAGTGGAAGCATCACTCCCTTTCAAGTAGTTCCAAGGTTGGTAAATCGTACTGGTGGTCACTGTGTCTTCCCCTGCACGACAGTCCCAAAGTAGTAAAATTAATTCCAACAGGTAGCGTGGCACCAACAATAACATCATGGATCATTAGAATCATCTCGCCAACCTGCAACACATCACATGTGGCAGACTCACTGGCCTCAAACAGTCAAAACAAACAGGTGCTGTGCTCTGGAGGAATCCAGCATTGATGATCATTCACCGCCCCAGGGTGCTTCGCTGGCCCGCTGATTATAGGTTAGACCCGGTCATTTAAAAAACATATCATGGGCTCTTTAAACTTTCTTTACTATTACTTTATAGAGAACACAATGTTATCAAGGGTACAGGACAATGTTCAGCAAACACAAGAAAAACTACAAGTGAATGAATATAAATATGTTTAGAAAAAAATCACAAAGCATTCACTCAGATAATTAGGAAAAGTATAAAAGCAAGAGAGGCAATTAAGGCTATAAATGTGTTTTCGAGGAGGCACTTAAAGCAGTCAGCACATGCAACCAATATAACACATGGGTGGGAACGGATCTGTAGAGTCAGGGCAAATGAATAAAAGACCATTCAAGTAATTTTGCAATGGTGTAAAAAGTCAACAGCCCACTTATATAAAATTTTAAAAAAGTAAAGCCAAGCCCTAAGGGTAATTAAAATCATATTAAGAGTTATTCTAAATGTGGATGTCCTTGTGGATTGCTAATATAGCATGCCATTTATGGTATCCCTGGTTTGAATCTGCTGGATGTCATCTGGCTCTCTTACCACATTTCTTGTCATTCTTCACTGTCAAAAAATGCATTAAATTACAAAAATATATTCAGATTTTCACAGACAGTGGTATAACATTAAACATTAGATTTAACTTGCAGTCTGGAAGTCAAATTTGTACCATGTTGTACCAGATCACAGTACACATCAATTTGCAATATGTTTGTATCAGCCTGAGTAGACAGTCCTGCAGCAGGCCACACCAGCAATCAACACTGATGATCACTTGCTGCCACCTACTGTTTCTTTAGTGTATGTGAACCATAAAATCCCACTGCTCCAACAAAAAAAGTTAATCCCTGACAAAAGTAGTTGAAAAAGTTTTTCCTTTCAAGTTTTCATCAATACCTTTATATACTTCTTCATAAATCTAATCACAAACACAAGCGTGTGTATGCTGATTATTTTCTAAGACAGTAACAGTACTTTCATTCAACTTTAAATGAAACAGGACCCATTACATGTGTCCTGGGGATTGTTTTTTTTTTTTTTTTGGCTTAGTAAAGTACAAATACTTAAAACTAAACAATACAGTACAGTATGTGCATACAGATTAATCCTTCAAGCACTGACTCATGCTTAAACAAAATAACTTCCTATTCTTCTTGTCATTTTTGTTGCTTGCTGGTTTTATTATTCAAACTTCTTACATTTGGCAACATGACATTACTCTTCATCGCTTTTCTTTAAAATGATTGTACATTTTAGTTTCAGGACTGTTCTTAGCTAAGAGAAATGTTTACTGTTTTAATGAGGTAGGCTACAGTCTGAGATCTCAGCTACTCTGTGACAACTCTAAAAACAAAAGATAAACAGGTGAATATGAGTCCAATTTCTTTAACAATTTTACATGCCATTTATGTGAGAGTCAGGTTTGCAATATCAGTAGTGGCTTTCAAATCCTGCATTGTATTGCTTTATTGACATAGCAAATTGTAAATGGACTTCAGGTAGGCTGTATGATAGGAGGGGTAGGACAAACTACTCTCTAGTAGACACAATTTCGCTGAGTGATTAAATAGGGATCAATTTATGACAATTTAATATATGTAAAACCTTTTTGTGAGAAAACTTCTTTAACCAGGCATTTAAAAAATGGACTGATACCTCGGAATTAAAGCTCATGTCCAGTTCTATTTTTGTAAGGAGGTAATTCATGGGAAAAATATAAATGATAATAAAATATGTACTACAGAGTCTAGACTGACAATATCCAGTCAGAGAAGTGTAAAATTAAACAATGTAGCTACATTTTCTGGCCAAACTTGATCTACAAGATGGACCTCGACAGTTTTCAGTATCTGCCGTTTTTCCTGTCTCCAGTGCTTTAATTTGCATGAATTTTATATTTCGTGCACCATCACTGTTCCACGGCTGTTTCCGCGGGTGCGTATTTTGTGCAGGATACAGTGCACAGCAACACGGGGTTTTCAGTCATTTTTGTAGCGAACGAGACTTGCAAACATTAATACCAAAGAAATGTTTATTTCAAAGACTGGGTGGCTTTTTGCGAATGTCTTCAACCTGAGTGGTTTGTGGAGAATGATATTTTATTTTGAAGGGATTACACGGGAAGTCTTTGTGTTGCCGGTAGCGGAACACCGCCGTCATGTGTATACGTCATCGTATAGTTAGCAATGGCTGTCTGCTGCTAAATGTGAACGGTCCGGTTTTTGTACAGGTTGTTCGTCTTTCTCTGAATTAATGAACAGGACACAACTGAAGCGGTCTAGTATTTTGCGGATGGCCATGGCTGAATCGGAAATGATATACCAGGACGGAGAATCTTTTATACTCCGAGCTGTCAGAATAGCAGCGGTGGTTGCATTGTATTGGTTTGTTTCAATAACAATGGTGTTCCTTAATAGTTATCTACTGGACAACAGAGAGTTGAACGCGCCGTTGTTTGTCACTTTTTACCAGTGTGTCGTGACTGTTGGCCTGTGCTTGCTCATGCAGGTACTGTCTAAACTGTGCCCGTGGATCATCGACTTCCCGTTGGTCAGTTTTGACGTGAAGACATCCCGGGAGGTCCTGCCTCTGTCTCTTGTGTTCATCGGCATGATCACCTTCAACAACCTGTGTCTGAAATATCTCGGAGTGGCTTTCTACACGGTCGGTCGTTCACTCAGCACAGTTTTCAATGTGCTGTTATCGTACGTTATCTTGAAACAAACTACATCTTTGCAAGCCCTGCTTTGCTGTGGGATCATACTAGGTAAGTTTCCCTTTCCTTCCCCCTTTCCTGGCTTACCGCAGCATTTTCTCTATTACATTAATATTGACTTATTTGCCAGTATGCAACACGTACTGTGCGATGGACGTTCATAAAACAGGAAGTAATAGACCCTTTGTCCTGGCTACCGGGATCTGCGCCCATTCAGCCACAAGAGCATTAGAGAGGTCCAACTTTGATGTTGAGCGATGAGGACAGATCAGCAGCTGGTGTTCCAGTCTATGCCCAAGGAGCTTGATGGGGTTTCCACACCAAACTCCACAAACTGTTTCTTAATGGGACCTGGCTTTGTGTACTGGTGGTATTGTCATGTTGAAACTGGAAAGAGCCTTCCACAAATTATTGTGACAAAGTTGAAGCACTGTTGTTTAAAATATAACTACAGTATGTTGTAGCACTAAAGAATTTCTTAACTGGAGCTAAGGGGCCCAAACCCCAAAACAGACAAATTTGCAGACAGAGTTGGCCATACAGTTATGAAATGTAATGCCAGGCTGGCTGTCCACCAGCAGCAGGACGCAGCAGGACAGTGACCCTAACCATCAAAGTTAATTTACAACAGAATAATAGAAGGGTTCTTTTACTTTTTCATACCACCGCATTTCAGTGTTGACAGCAGATTGTCTGCTCCAGTGTTCAAAATGCTTTATTGTGTATATGTCCTGAACATGTTCTTGCCTTCCAGGTGGATTCTGGCTTGGTGTGGACCAGGAAGGCCTGGCAGGGTCCCTCTCCTGGTCAGGTGTCTTTTTTGGGGTACTGGCCAGCGCTTGTGTCTCTCTGAATGCCATCTACACCAAGAAGGTGATGCCAGCAGTGGACGGAAACATCTGGAAGCTGTCCTACTATAACAATATCAATGCCTGCGTCCTCTTCCTCCCGCTCATTCTTTTGTCTGGAGAGTTGGGCCATGTCGCCTCCTTCAGCCATCTCACTGATCTCAGGTTTTGGAGTATGATGACACTCGGGGGAGTATTTGGTTTCGCCATCGGCTATGTCACAGGTCTCCAGATCAAGTATACCAGTCCTCTCACACACAACGTCTCAGGGACAGCAAAAGCCTGTGTGCAGACTGTTATTGCAGTTGTGTACAACTCTTCCAGTAAAAGCTTCCTATGGTGGACCAGTAATATGATGGTTCTTTGTGGCTCGTCAGCCTATACTTGGGTCAAAGGTTTAGAGATGAAGAAAACGCCTAGCAAAGACCCTCAGGACTCAGCCAAGGAAAAACTCCTTCCAGAAGAGAAGGTCAACATGTGATTGTAACCACTGTCTGGTGTAACCATACACTGAAAAACCAGCAGCGTGGGAGAATGTGAGATCATGTAACATTTAGAGCATGACTGATAAGTGACTAAAGTAATACATACACAGATTCAGAGATTTTGATTATGGTTTTTATGGGGTTTGGTATAAGGTCTGAAGAAATTTGTGTATGAATATATATATATATGTATTTCTATTTAAGCTAGTCACTTTCTTTCGGGGCCTTTTTTACAACAGTTTTTTAAGTAAATCACTGAGAAATTTAACATTGTATGTTTTATCATGTACTCTAAGAGAAGGAAGAATGGAAGATGAAGTTTTTTATTTACAGGGAGGGCATCAGATAATTATTTTTATTAGGTTGAGGGTATTGGTGTCATGGGCAGATAGAAAACTTTCTATGCCTATTGTTTTATTCCACTTGTAATTTTTGTCTTGAGTTGCTGACATTTTGATGAATGTTGCCACTATCATGGGGTAGCCTATGTCTGTTGTCCTGAACTGCTGTATGTTTTTCTGTAACATCCTGTAGTTTATGGCGGATAACGCAGACAACGTAACTAGCAACTTCTTGTCAGTGGGGTCTGACACACAGTCAGCCTTTTATCTCCAAAGGAACCAATCCTTTAGCCTTTTGAATTGTTGCAGTCACAAACTTGTACCTTGTTTGCTACAGCCCAATATGCTTGTGAGCAGAGTCAAACATTAAATTGCACAACATGAAATAAGGTGAAAGTACACTATATTTGCATATTAACACAAAAATGAGCCAGAGCTTTGTTAGGATATTTCTAAACAGGTTTCATGTTTGACATGTGGTTCTTAATGTTTGAAGCAGGACTTAACTGTGTCAGTAGCTTCACACGTCAGCAGTGTGTACTTTGTCTTTCACTCTTAACTTGCAGGTTATGATCAGGCAGGTACCGCTGTACTAGTCTCAAAATGTCTCTGTAAACAGTCGTCTTTATCCTGCATTCAACAGACAGGGAGCTTATTTAAAAGACAACATTAAAGATAGTGTACAATTAAACTAAGTTTTCATTTTACATGGGGAAAGTGTACTTTATGGCATCACTGTTAAGTAATATTGAAGGATTTAGATGTAATATTTTTATTTTAAAAAATTTTGTCAAAATATATATAATTGTTGCATACATTGGTGCGGTGGTTAGTGCTGTCTCCTCACAGCAAGAAGGTTCAGGTTTGAGCCCAGGCCAACCCGGTGCCTTTCTGTGTGGACTTTGCATGTTCTTGTGCCTGCGTGGGTTCTCTCTGGGTACTCCGACTTCCTCCCACAGTCCAAAGACATGCAGCTTTGGTTGTTTGGTGACTCTAAATTGCCCATAGGAGTGAGTGTGGGTGTGTGGTTGTCTGGCTGTCTAGGGTGCACCCCACCTCTCGCCCAATGTCAGCTAGAATTGGCTCCAACCCCCCCCCCACTTGATTCTTTCATCTGTCTTATAAGAAACATTTATGGGCAGCTTGCCTCATCTTTCCTGATGTGTATGAGAAGTTAATAAAGCAGATTTACATAGGAATTTTGTTTTTCTTGTACATGCATTGCCATCGTACATGGGTCTTGACCAGTCATGCAGAAACCTCACCACTAGAAACTAGCTGGTCATTGCATTTGGGTTTGTAGTAATTCAGATGTGTGCTGGTAAAGACAATCACAGGGAAGTCCATGTAACTTCTGCAAAGTTTAATATCTGTCTTCATAAGTCTTGCTACTTCTGGGACCTCATTTAACGTGATAAGATGTTTTTCATTTAGAGGTGCTCTATATATGTCCTTATTGTGTAGAGTATGTGTGTAACTAGGTTGTTGCGAACACTGGATGCAGGTGGTCAGTGGATGTTGGAGCAGGGTTGCTTGAGAGTCTCCGGGCTCCAAATGGAATATTTCCCTGAGCAACAGGGAGATTAGTAATAGCTGACAGAGCATCGTGGATAATTACATGAACCAAAAAAAATGCTGGTCTCTGATGTCAACTCATCTCATATCAACAGTGAATTTGCCCTTGTGACACCAATGAAAGTTTGACAACTGTGCCATAATGTGGAACACGCAATCCCCCACCCTTAGTCTTTAACTCTCATGTTTGGATGGATCAGGTTCAACACAACAGGATGAGGTAAAATCTTCAGTACTGACTGACAGCTCAAAGGCTGCGAGTATCATAAGCATTCACTCATATTTCTTTACATGTGTTGGCTCAAAGTGGCGGTCAGAATGTGGTTGTCACTTTGTTTGATGGGATAGTAAATTACTCCCGGGGTGTTTTCAGTGAGGAATCATGACTGCAGCATCTGGCTGCTGCGTGGAAACATTCTCACCAGGCAATGAGATTCCATATTTCTGTTTCATGTAGTTTGCTGTGATATAATGCATCTTAAATCTGCATTAGATTTTTTTTTTCCAGCCACTTGAAGGCAGCAAAACAAAGCTCATATAACACACTGTACATACACCAGAGCATGTAATGCAAATCCAGCTGTAAATGGTGCCTTGACAAGATTTCTCCTTATAAAGTCCATATGGTTAACATGTTAGCATAACACTTGCTCACAAGGAGCATTAATTTGGAGTCATCTTCTTACTCTCCTCCTTGCTCTGTCTTGGTCTCCACCAGCTCCCGTCTGTTGTGTGGTGCTTGGCATGTAGAATATAGTGGGTTTAGCAGCGCCTTTTGCCAAAAAAAAAATCACACAAAACAAAAACAGTGTGGTTACAGGCCATGAAACAAAAACAATGACCTGAAGAGACTATAAATCTGCGGGGAACTGAAAAGTCAGGGAAAAACTCTGGGTTTAAAAAGCAGCTTTATTTATTGTCATTGTAACATGTACAACAAAATTATGTTTTTTGGAGCCAAGGGGTGCATGCGCGCCGCCATCACGGGCAGCTTAGTGTCTTGCCACGGGACACTTCAACATGTGGATTGCAGGCACTGAGATTCAAACCTTCAACCTTCCGGTTGGGAGACAACTGCTCTACCCACCGCACCACTGTCACCTCCCTGTTTGCCACTATAAACAACCTGTTTCAGATCACATGTAGTCATTTGATCCATTATTTATATAAAAGATAATGATTACAGCAGCTTTAAGTAAATTCACTCTTGATTGCATTGACAGATTCTTTATCTCCCAGTGAAACACGTTCCTTGGATTATAGGAGTTGCTGGAGTTATTCAACCTAATATTAGGGGCTGAAGCTGTATATTTGTAAATTTTGCCTGATCATTTCTTTCATCATATTTGTCACTCATACCTGCTCTGTATTTTTAGGGTAAAAATAATTTATGTTGACTTGTGGGCTTGAAAGTGTGGGACTTGTGTTTTGGACACAAATTATAGCTTTCAGTCCCCTTGACATATCTGTAATTTTTATATATTTTGTCCCTGTTCCTCCTGCATAATTGCTCACGGTCGAGCTGGGGAGATTTCTACACCAGCTACCCACAGCATAGTAAAGTTCTGCTATTAAGTCTATGTCACTGATTATGGAAATCTTTTTCCCCTTTAATGGTCAAAATTTATTAATGTAGCTTCAAAAATTATAGTGAAACCTTTGGCTTGGGGAGCCTCAACATGAAAATTAATCAGTTCACTAAAAACTATGTATCTCCAAAATGTGATTTTTTTTCATGAACAAATAAAAATGACCTCCCTTTCAGCTTCGTGACAGTTTTTCCAATAGGTCTTTTACTGTAAGTGTAAAGAATATTTAATCTTTCATGTTTACTATAAAAAAAAAAATCTAAACTGCCAGATTTGGCGATTCTTGAACCCTTTTACACTAATTACCAAGGCGATCCTCCTCTCAATCACCTTATACAAATATACATTTATCTATGCATGCTTGTCCTTAATAAAATCAGAAATATCAAACTGATAATATCCAATAACACATGCAATGTATCACAAATCATGTATCCTATACTGTATGTATATAAATAAACCCTTCTAAACAGCAAACAACAGTTAAAGCATACATCATCAGTCTCAGTCTGTTTGCTTACAAGCTGATGTAATGGAGAGGATGAGAACAGATATCAAAACATGGAAACCTCTAGGTTAAAAGGCTTAGGTAATGGAAAAGGAACCTTGGTTGTGAAATGAGCTGTGACGATCCTGTCAGCCTCATTGCCCCCAGCAAATCTATCGAGACTGACATCATAAACATTCCATTGGGTCATTTGAGATGACATCTGTCATTTGTCTTCCTAAAGTAATGAAACTGTCATTTCTGGAATAATAGTGGTTGTAGGATGAAGCATCAGTCAACAGTTTTGGCTTGATGTACATCCAGATGTTTGTTTGTTTGTTACTTTCAAGGCTTTTGAAGCATTTGGAATCAAATATTAATTTTAAATGTCTAACTTGCAGCTCTTGAAAGATCAACATCTGTTCTCTCCTTGAATCCTCACAGATGGATTTCTTTCTCTGGATTGACTTCATCACTCTTCGCTGTTTTCCTCATTAGTATGTCCCTCCAAAGCATGTTCCACGTCCTGTGCCAGCAAATATTTTCCCATTACTGGCACACAGCACTTATTCCAGAGTCACAACAGGAGCTGAGAAAAGGAAGTAGTTGCAGACCTAGCATTGATTTGAACAGAACCATTTCAAACCATATGCAAGCTTTTAGCAACGAATGCATCCTGGAAGGAATGAGTTAAGAATTTCTGTTCATTGCTCTGAGATGAGAGAATTCATCATCCATGGCTACGTCATTTTTGAAGCAGACAGGAAGAGCTGCAGATCACGTTGAGCTAGTTATATTTTCTTTCTCTGGAAGCTTATTCCAATGGGTTTGGCAGCTAACATGTTCACTTTCCCCACCAGGAAAATGTACATACCCATTCTTTTGTACTACCTTCTCCTATATCTTTGTTTTTCTGTAACAGCTTGGCCACATGGTAAGTAAACAGCATTTATTGCAGGTAATTGAATGTTGTTCATACTGCGCACAGTACTGGAGAGTCGTCATATCACTTTCCCTCCTCTTTGTAAAAACATTGCCAATTTATAACAGAAAATAAACATGTGCTCTTAATTTCTGACTGTGGTGTCATTCCATGTTGATGAATCACGTTTTCTGCTAAGACTTGTTTCAGTGCTACAGACTATGTGCCTCCCTGAAATAAGAATAGCACAGAGCATCTCCTGGTCTGTATACAGCCTTTCCATTGCCAATTAATGTAGATAATGAACATATTAGTGGGGGTTCAATACCCACTAGGCTTTTACATTTCATTTAGCACAGAAGTCCATAAGTATTGATGATTAGACTTAAACCTGGAATGACACCAATTGGCTGTTGTCCCTTGTGGGCTTCATTCTGACTCCATGTAGCACTGCTCTGTTGTAAGTTTGTGCTTGACCAAACCTAATGCAGTACAAATGCAGTTCAAAGCTGGCATTTTAAACAGAGTTTGGGCACATATTTGGCTGCATCCCAAGCTGTTCGACATGTTGCATCATTTGTGTGTCAAAGCTCACAAGGTACGATGTCATGTGTAAGATGTGAAATTAGGTTTGTAAACAGTATACAATCCAGCTTGAGTTTGATTGGATCATTCTTAAAAAAAACACATGCCAAGATAAATTTCACACCTCAGGGATTTGCCATGTTGTATATGTGCTGTACAGGGAAGGCTAATATGCTTCATTAAATAAAATGACACATTTGTACCTCCTGCCCTGATAACCACATTTAGAAACAGATATGTAGTAGGATCAAACCAGTTGTACAGAGTTTTTAGATACAAATATTTCACCATAATCATTGCATTTTATTTTAACAATCGAAAAATTAAGCTGGAGCAAATTACTTTTGCAACATAGACTGATGCCAGGGTGTTTTATCTTGGCTCCACAGCTCTGACAGGGGACAACTGTCCGAGCTCTGAGTGGAACGCCATGTGCCGTCCGTGTTGTGAGTACTACCTGATCCAGTGTCAGTGTCCCTCAAAGGGGTCGAGGGTAGGTTACACTGTACCCTGCTGCCACAATTCTCTGCATCAATGTGACCCCTGTATCGTTCACCCAGGTACACACTCATTGTCGCTTACACATACAGTATTAGTTACAGTATCTGTAATACTGTGTGAGGTGCTTCTTTTGTCTCCTTTTGTCTCCTGTTCTACCATAGCTGGTCATTCCACCTACCTAGTTTTTCTGTTTATTCCAAACAAGTACCTGGTGTGCTCAAACACACAAAAAAAACCCTTACTCCTTATAAGATTAGTTTCCCTGGAAAAGACGTCCTGTACCAAACACCAAATGTTCAGTGTAAGCTTCTGTCTGCTTTTGTCCTTGTAAGGGTGCAGTCTGTTTGAGAACTGTAAAACCTGCAACAATGGAACATGGAAAGCCAATGACGACTTTTTTATCAATGGAAAATATTGTACAGAGTGTCGGCAAGGCTGGAGCGGAGGGGACTGTAAAAGTGAGTAAATATGGTACTGCTCTAAGGCTTTTTTTTGCCACAGAATGGCTAAATCTTATGAATCTCCTTACTGACATGAGAAAACATGGCTCACAGTGACCAAAACACATTTTAAAAATTCTCAGCTATGAAGAATTGAGTAGGTGCACTCCAGCATGCCAAAATGTTGTTGTGTTTTTACTGACTATACGATACAATTAATGCTTATTTTGTGGACTTTTTTAGATTACATTTGCCAGAATAGTGTTATCTGCCAAAAGCACTTTATGCATGCATAGCATGGCTAATATCTGCAGCTACTATAAGCAATGGTAAATAGGTTTATTATAATTTAAGGCAACATAATCTATCACCTAGAAATAAGTTTTTTTAGTATCTGTTAGGCAGTACATAACTATACAAAACTATACACATCAAATTGTAGAACCAATGACCTGGGGTTATAATCATTACCTGTTCTGTTCCACATTCATATTTGTAATACACTGTAATGACACTTGGTGGCAACAATGCCTTTTGTTTACAGGTGCTAGTACTGAGTTGTAGTTCATGTTCCCTAAAATACTGAAATACTGAGAAAAATTCCTGTTTTTTTTTTTTTTTTTTTCCTATATGATACAGCTCTTTTCTACTATGCTGCCACAGCTACCATAAGGATATCATTTCATTCAAATATACACTTATAAATTCCATAGCAATGTTATACTATTAATAAAGGAAAGCAAAGACGTTTACATAGTATGCCACTCCTTCTATTCATTCTCAGGGTATTTTTCCATTCTTTATTATTTCATGGCCCAGTGGGAAATTTCCACTTGGATGACAATCTCCCATGTGCTGTCAGTGTGCCATTCACAAGGGAAGGCACAGAGCCATTGTACAAGTTCTACTGTCCGACACAACCTGTTTTAGACTGTGTAATACATATAAGGACCAAGCATTTACGTAAATTAATAGAGCATAATTTGCCATAGGATTTGCCAATGAATTCTGAAATATTCTAAAAGCCTAAACCTTTAACCATTATATCCCAAATTGTAACTCTTACCCTTTTAGTGAAGAAGACTGATCATTTGAATTGGATACATTCATTGTTTTTTTTCTTTTATTTGTCTCTCTCTCTCTGTCTCTCTGAAGAACACACATGAATACCAGCATGAGGTGATTAATCATGGAATGATTAACTGAAATGAGTAACTACATCTCTCTTGTGTGTAGCATGTGGAGGCATTATTCAGCGGGCTCAGGGTCACATAACCCTGGAAAGTTACCCAACAAATGCCCGTTGTGAATGGACAGTGCAAGTGGATAGGGGCAGCAGCATTGAGCTCAGGTAGGTCACTTTTTCTGGGCTCTGATAGCAGAGTCCTTAAACACTGAAATGACAGAAAAGATCTGGTCAGTCTTTATGTGAAAAATCCAGTGAGTTATTAAAAGCCAGCTGAGACTCAGGCAATGCAATAGTGAGGCAAACAATCTAGAGATTTGATTGTCTGTGCTTGGAAAAATGAAAGAGCCGGGGTTGGGTTAGGACTGACATATGCTCAAGTCAGGGAAACCATTACCAGTAGTTTAGACAAACACAGCAAATAATCATGTTCTCGTTTGATGTTATGTCTGAATGCAATATAAACAACTCTGTAGTTTATGATTTGAAACATGCACCCTGCCTGTCTCATAAAATCCTGTTATCAAATTTAGTGTGATGAGCAATATGCATTAATACCCTTCAAATCTGCAACATGGACTGACATAAGACCTGTGATAAGTTTTACTCTGTAAATCAATACTCTTGCTGAGACATGCAAAAAGCTAAAGGATGTGTTTAGTTTTTATGTGCTGGAAACTACTTTCCTCAATCTGCAACTGACTTTATAGGGGATCAACTCATTCTCAGTCTATCAAATGATGCTGAGGTCAAAATCAACAGCTCTTCATGAGCACACATAATTTGACTTATTGTTTACACAATTTGCACTTGCAAGGCTTCTGTTAAGTCTTATAAACTGGAGTGAAAAAGTAATTAATCATGACTTCTCTGTGAGTATGCTGCAGGTTTTCTCTGCTAAGCTTGGAGTCTGACCATAGTTGTCGTTATGACTACACTGAAGTTCGTGATGGCAGGGACCTGAGCTCCCCTGTAATTGGCCGGTTTTGTGGGGATCAGCCGCCTCCTCAAATAAAAAGCTCTGGCAACTACCTGCACATCCTGTTCACCTCAGATGGCTACAACAACTTTGATGGCTTTGCTCTTACTTTTCAGGAGAGTTCAGGCAGGTATAATCATTGCTAGTAATGTGAATGTTATGTGCATACATTGTGGACATAGGACAGACAAACTAACAAGCATTCAAAATTATAGTATAATGAAATCTACAATTTTCTCAAAATGAAGATTCTCATATAAAAGCTTATAATGTGCTTTTGCTGCACCTTAATCTGTGGCAGAATTGTTGGATAATATTTCCATCCATCCATCCATCCATCCATTTTCCTCTGCTTATCCGGGACTGGGTCGCGGGGGCAGCAGTCTAAGCAAAGATGCCCAGACTTCCCTCTCTCCAGACACTTCCTCCAGCTCCTCCGGG